GCGCTGGCGCGGCGCTTGAGCTGCCAACAGGGGAAATGGCGACTTGTGAAGGACTCGGGGGCTTCTGCGGGCCCGCAGGAGCAGCGTTTGTGYGGGCTCTGAGCCGAGCTGTCCCTGGGAAAGTCCCTGGGAAGAAAAATAAACTCGGGCCGTTGTAGCTGGTRGTGGAAATGTTTAGGACGTGAGCCCGGGATCTCAGGCTAAAGGAAAGAACGCAGTGTTTATTTATTTAACTCTGCTGAAGCCGATGTTGGGAAATGGTGGGCACAGCCCAGGCTCTGCTGGCACTGCGGCTGGGTCGGGGGTGCATGAGGGGGTCCCGCAGCCCCGAGCCACTCACCAGGGCCAGCCCTGTGAGAGGGCAGCGTGTCCACCTGCAGCTGTGAGGAGCCCGCATCCACCACGGGCGGCCGAGGAGAGCTGCCCTGGCCTGCCCTTGCTGCCCTGCGTGTCCTTAGGCCTGACTGCTGGCCTTGGCTTGCCTTTTCCTCCCAGCTTACAAGGAGGAGATGCTGCTGTGTCCATGAAGTCCCTGAGGCAATTACAAGTATTTGAGCAAAAGCAGTGGGGGACGATAGGACACTCTATGGCAAGTTTTGATGTTTCATCCATCAGATGGTGACCTGTAAATCAAGATTTATTATCCCATGAAGAAGACACCATAGATCCATCCTTGCATCTTTCCCCTCTCCTGCCAATTAGATAAATTGCTAATAAAAGAATTCAAGTCCTCGAACATGTAACAATTAGTATGGCAATACAATGTCAGCTTGATGTACTTAAATAGGAAGCAAAACTTAGAATATCAAATAACATGCAGTTAATTTCATACTGTATGACATGAAAACAAATGGTTGACCCTCTAAAAGATGGGAGCTCCGTGACACCTCCAGGAAAGCAGCCTTGTGCGTGTYGAGTGCTGGCTTGATATGTTGTTCCTTGTTTCAATTCAATTATCTCCAAATACTTCCTCTTAATGATACAAACGTTTCAATCTTTCACTATTTGGGCTTCAAAAATATAAATGTAGTAGTTACATAATGTGCCCCTGAATATCGCTTGAGAACTCAAACACATTCAGGGAGATAAAGTGTTAGTGCTGTGAGACTTCTTTTCTTTGATCTGTATTATTGCCTTAGTCAAAGCACAGACTGAAATGGAATGGAGTTGCCAACCTCCTGCCTTTACTGCCAGGAATATAAATCAACATTAAAGATGATTTTTAAATTAAATAGCAAGTTAAGCGTTTGTACAAACACATCATCAAATAGAAGTTATACTGCCTCTTCTTAAACCTGTTGCCTGCTGGCAAAAATAAAACTGCTCCAGTGACATTTTCTCTGCACTGCAGTGACAAGGGCTACATAAATATAGACACCATGGATTAGAGTAGACTTCAGCAACTTTAACTTCCTTTCCTACAGCATTTTCTGTAGACAAATTCCCATAACTATGGGTAAAAAGCAGGGAGTTTAAAACTGGTATGAATGGCAGTGGTGACACTTGATGGCAGGAGCTTTAGCCAAGCCTGCAGATAAGAAGTGCTGGTTAGAGGAAAGGAGAGGGAGWCAGGATCACTGACTCCCGCTTTGATAAATCTTTAGGATAAGCTGTGTACTCCGAGATCCTTGATGGCATGTGCAAGCAAATGCAATTTTTTCCTTCAACTTTGCCTAGAGAAAGCAAGAAGTGTGATGAACTGTAGTGCCAGCCTAGATAATTCTGTCGCTTACTAAGAAGTCACTCATGTTTCCATTGGAGAAGCTGCTGGTGCCAAAACGATCAGTGTCACTCAGAATCAAATATGACTTTTTTCTTTTCTCYAGCTAGAAAAGCACCAAATTAACATGTAATAATGTGAGTGATTCTTCCCATTTTTATGCTGCCTTTCAGTCTGTGCTGAAGCCTTCAGAAAGTGAGGAGATGGCTTGCATCCTAGATTGGCGAGGATGATGCTTCTTCATGTGCACATGACAGTTCAAGTAGGTCATCAGTTGAAAAGCTCATAGGGAAGGAGAGAGGGGCAGCAGACTAAATGCTTGCAAGGTAAATATCAGCATGGCACTGTATTTTGTACACGAGTGATTGTCAGTTAAAGTGCTCAAAACCAGTAGTAGAAACGGGAGGATAACACTCTGGGAAAAGCTCTACCAGTCCTTCCTGGTTTCCCGAAAACAAAACAAAAAAGACAGACAAACAGCTAACTAAGCCAAAAAACTCAGTTCAATGGACATAGCTTTAGGATAGCTGGGCTATTTTATCTTCTCCCTTTCCATCTCTCAGCTTGCTACAACTTAGCAGGGTTCTTGCTGAACAAACACTCACGGGCACTACTGTGCAAGTCACTGAACCCAGATAACAAATGGATTTTTACATTCTTTCTGCATATCTGAATCCATTATCCTAAGAGGGCCCAGAAGAAGGTGGGCATTAACTTAATACAGCCCTGAAAGAGGAACTGTCCAGGAGATTAGGAATGACAGCAAGAGCCCTCTAAATTACTAAATCACTTTGAGCCAATGACCAAATCCATTTCAGCTGTTGGCTATTYGGTGGCCTGTTTGAAGTGAGCTGGCGATGGCTCTTAGCCCAATCCCTAAAGGTGGCTGTGTCAAAATATCTGTTTATTTGCTGGCAACCTTACTAGCGAAACCAGAAGATCCTTGGGCTTGGACAGTTCTCTTCCTCCCTCGGGAGCAGATGCCGATGATGCAGATGAGCTGCAGAGCACTGTGGTGTGGAATCAGGGCACGGCTCCATCCTCGGGGCTTTCATGTGCCCTGCTTGTTCTGCCTGGCACTGCTCTCAGTGTCTCTTGATGGAGCTCTTTTCCCTGCTACTGCCATGATTCTTGTGTAAAGAGGGAAGAACAAAGTCAGCACGCGCCTGTTTTCTGGTGTGATTTTTCTATACCCRTTTCCCAATCCCAACGTCCAAAGTAACAACATCCTTTCAAGCCGCCTCCTCGTGAAATGCCACAGTAGTCCAACAGCTGCAAATCAAAACACCTTGTAAACAAGTGACTGAAATCCCGTGGGATGCCCGAGGGCTTGGGCACGTCTCAAAGTGATTATAGTTCCTGCTATACAAATTGGAGTCCATGTAGCAGGGTTCGTGCCAACTCTGAGCTTCGGAGCTCTTGCTTTTTATTTTTAGTCCTGTTTGTCGAGGGGTTCTCATGATAAAAAGAATGACGTGCGGTATCAGCAACACACGGATAAAATTAGATAGTAGCCGGAAGTGATCATAGGAATAATCCTCCCCACTAAGACTTTCTTTTTTTTTTTTTTTTTTTCCACGGAATTTGAGATCCTCTGGGCCTCAAGGACAGCTTTTTTTTTTTTTTTTCTTCTTTTTCTGGGTGAATTTCCCTTCTCATCAGCAAGTGGCTGAAAAATCGAGCTCACGTAGGGCATATGTGGTAAGTCTCATGCAAAGAAGTGACTGTCATTGCCACTGCTTCTGCCAACAGCTGGGACCGTGTGGGACACTAAGGACAACATAGTCTAGATGTGTGCAGCTGATGGAAGAAGGCTGCTTTCAGCAACTCTCTAGGCCCTCTTCCCTCCTTGGAGGGTACTCTTGTACACAGAGCAGCCTGGCCACCCGCAGAGCTCAGGCCCAAGCTTTGCAGCCCCCCAGACAAAGCTACCCACGCTGATTTTCCTTTGGAAGAAGAGGCCGCCAATAGGGAAAGTACATTCGATTGCATCCCTAAAGATCTATCAGGAGAACTGGACTGGTTGTCATTTGTTTTGGCTTTTTATCTGCTAAAGTTTGAGCTACTTTTGTTTTTCCTGCACCTAAAAATGGTGCTGCATTTTTCCTGCACCTTAAAATACAAATGGTTAACTGAGCAGCAAACTTTTTCTATTGCTTAGAAACATACGGTGTTCAAACAGGCAGAAAATTTTCCTTAGTGCACCATGAAAGGAGGATGAAATTGGTTGCAATGTAGCACAAAGGCCTTTAGAAGAGCAACTGTGACTTAGTGGCAAAGAAAGAGTGCACCAAAACCAAAGCTGTGAACCCACAAGGCCAGATGATTTACAATTACTTTTGAATAGAGTATGTAAAGGCAAAGGGAAGGATAATTATGTAATGTGAAAATGGAATGTCACGGATAAAGGGTGTATTTTTTGCTCCTTTACCTTACTGAGGGACAATGGCTCCTGTGCCTTGACAAGGTCTGTTTGTGCCCAAAACCTTGTGTCACGAAATGGTGTTAGGGCTCCCATCACATATGGGCAAGAGAGGTTCAAGTCCTAAGCAAGAGGGACCATCTCTAGGGCAGAAGAAAACAGATCTAACTGTGGCAAGTGGATGTGGTTCTGCCCATATTTTAAATTTCAGAAGTAGAAATAATTTCTCCTGGAGAACTAGAGGAAGAACAAAGGCTTTACATCCCTAAACACTTTCTACTTGAAAGGAGGTCAGAGAGTTCAAAGTTACTTCACCACTGCTGCTGCATACTGTTGCCTCGATGCATCATTAAGGACAAGTTWTTGTTTCTGCCAGTGTTTTGGGAAGCTGGAGAGGAACAATGAAGCCAGAACTGCTCCCTCCCTTTGGTGAGCTGCTCATGAGCTGTACCTGCCACTGCACCCTCACTGCCTTCTCTACGCCTGTTTGGTTCTGGAGTCACTTACACCTGATGGGGTAACAAGAAAACAAAACTGAGACAGTGCTCCATTCCCTCCTGTCCACTTAGCTTAGATTGGAATGGGAGCTGGGTTCCATTCCCCCCGCCAAAAAAACAGTAATTGTTGTAAAGGAACAAGTGCTGGAAATGAGTGCAAGGGCAAATGGAAGATCTGTTTGAAGCTGTGGGCTCTTGCATAACTGGCTCTACTTAATTGCTTAAACTTCTTTTCATCTGCTATAGTCTCCCTAGACTTATTTTACCTAASAGC